ATTTTATGTCTAAGAAGAGAAATCGAGAATTGTGGAAATGGTTAAATCAAGAAGTCAATCATACTTCGTTCCAAAATCAAGTCTTAGAGTTATACTCCAAGATTGTGAATTGAGTGACATGTTTTTAGTAGGTTTATAACACTTATCAAATATGGAGTTTGAAAGTTTCTTATTCTTGCACAATTAAAATTGGTAAGTTGTGATGTCTTGAAGAAGACACAGACCAACTAGAACCAATTAAGATAAGTGTTAGTCTTGATAGGATTTCGCATTAACTCTTGAATATTTGTTTTGTCAAGGAAAGTTCCTTGATAAGAGAATAATATATGTCAAGAGGGCATTGGGAGTCTAAATGGTCTTGAAAAGTTCTAGAAAAAATAAAGAATAAACCAATAGTTAATCACTAGCACACGGATTGAGGTTTGCGATCTATCGTGTGGACATAATTTTGCTTTTGTGCCATTCCAGATTAATTCAACTATGCAATATGAGTTCTCAATTGAATTGCATAAAGGCAAGGCACCCTATCAATGGAAATTACATTGATAGGAAGGTGTGAGATTCTTGACAACCTGGAAGCAATGGTGGGCATTCGTGCTACCATAAGGCAAGAAATCAATAATAAACAAGTTCAGTCCATATGGTTTGGATATGAACACATACACCAGATAAATCTAAGTGTCATAAGGTTTCACTCCTTCATGAAAATGATTGTGAGGAAATGCTTTCACTAAGAGAGATTTTAAAGAGATATCAATTGTGTAAATTGTATTCTCAATTTCGATTATGATTACGACATCCCTCTTTATAGTTCGAATTGTGAGATTTGGTAATTAGTTTGAACATTTGGGACTTAGTAACATAAGTTATGAATTTGTTTAGACACACATGTGAGCTTTGTAAGACAAAGATGTATGAGTTTAAGAAGCTTAGATAAAGGCTTATCAAAGCATCATGTATTAGAAATACGAACTTAAGGAATTCAATAAGCATTGTCTTCTGGAAGTTCAATTGTTTTCTGAATACATGTCAAAGCTAGTGGAAGGATACGTGTTATGCTAATAAGGATATAATCATTGTGTTAGTGGGAGCATGATTATTATTTTAAGTATTGCAAGTTAGCAATATTAATTATAGAAAAGCAAAGATTCAATTTTCTAAGTTTCAAGGGTTGGAAATTTGTTTTTGCTATAATTATGGGAGAGAATATTATACGTCGTTTCAAAATCAAAAAGATTAGATTGAAAAATTTTAATAAAATTTAGTCAAGGATACATAGCACGTTCTCAAATTCGATTATGATTACAGTATCCCTCTTCGTAGTTCGAATTCTGAGAACATGGCTAACAAAATATTATGGCAAAAGACTAGTAAAGTATCATGTCTTTATGTAAGTCATTATGAATCGTGTCCCATACACTTCGGGTATAGGATCGATTGCATATGCTATAATGTTTGAACATTCTAAAATTTTCCAAATGCATAGTGCATTAAGAGGGAAAAGGGATTAGAATCGGTTTTGACTAAAATAATTAAACAACTATCTAAGGACGATCCAAAGTTCGCTGATAATTGGTCACTTGTGAGTAGTTGGAAGTATAGTAATGGATGGATCATATCGACACTATTATGAATAGATAGGATTCGATTAAGAATGAGTTATCATATGGCAATTATGGAAATGTTTCTATATTGGGATTTGAAAATTAAGAATTTATGTCTAGATTAGAAAATTTTATGCAAAAGGATGTTCAAAGGAATGTACTTTGAGTGAGAGACATCACATCTATAGAATTGTTTTGTAACAATTTCTGATGGAGAACCTTGTAATTTCATTGACCAAGTCTTGGTGACTTTTGTGTTATGACTTTACGAAAGGATCGTTGCATAAAATGTTAAAATCTAACATATTCTAATATTGGTAAGAAATCTGTATACTTACACTAATAATAAGGATAAGGAATTGTGAAATGAGCATCATTGGAAAAGTTTTCAGTTGATCTATTTCACAAAGTATGAACCATAGGAAACATAGTGTGCATGTCTGATGCATGGGACAACTATTGTTGAAATTCAAGTGTCAAGTTGAATATCCGAAACATTAAACAATCAATAATGAGTAATCGATACAATGTTTAAATAAAAGGGTGTTTTATTTACGCTCAAAAGTTTTGAGGCCATATAGGACTATGTATTATTGTTGTGTTTCACTTTGCATTTTTTGACTTCCATAATAACTGGGTTATTCGAACCTCCACAGTCGGTCATACATTAGAAGTAGGTATGAAGCAAGTCTGTCATGAATTTGTTTGTATATCATCCAGATTTTTTAGACATAGCACAAGTTTGCTGCAGAGTTCATGAGTGCTTTAATAAGATTAGAGTATTGGATTAAACCCATGCTCACGTGAATCACTTAATAGATTTTATCAAGAGTGATTGTGAGATGATAATATTATATATTCTAGAAACTAAGACGTGTGAGCTGTTATTTGTTGGTCAGTTGCTCATAGATGATAAGTAAACGCACCAGTAACTTGGTGTTATAAAACTTATTGTTGTGTGTGATTTGATGAGTAAGTACAAGCGATCATTTGAGTCGAGGTTTATCCATTCCTTTTACCCAAAGTGGGATAAAAGCAATATATGTGGTCCCCTCGATGATTTAGTGATGACACCTAAGTGCTTGGCCAAGTCGGGACTAAGTTGATGTGTTCAATTATAGTCTGTTGTCAGTCATCATAAATTGGATGTCGGGAAACAATATAGAGAGAATGATTTAAATCCATGTCTCGCGTCTATATGATATCTTGTAGAATGGAGGAATATATGATCCCTTATCTAAAGGACACACATATCTAATAAGATCAGAGTTGACAGTGGCTTTTGAAAGCTACGATTGATGATCAGATTCTGAAGTTATGCAAAATAGTTATTGATGAGTTTAAAAACTCTTAGATCGATTAGATCTTTCACAAGCACGATTAAAGAAATCAAACAATTCAAGACAATATGAGAATCAACACAGATCTGAATCAAATGTATGCTTATGGTTCAAAACAGAGTCACGCCTCAGCAGAGCTCGATGAAGAACTTCTGCTGTAGAGGCGAGCTAGGGTTTACAAAAAAGTGAAATAAAATAAACAATGAAAAGCGTAACTACTAAGTCTACATGCATGAAACTTATATACTAAACCCTGGTACAAAAATATGCACGGTTGGACAGGCCCAATACCGGCATTCAAACTAGGCTAAGGATCGATCCCATGACGCAATCTAACAGACCCAACAATCTCCCCCTTTGCGTCCAATGAGGCAAGAGATTACTTCTTTTGAGTGGGCTTCACCGTCTTTACCACTTTAAACAAACGAGGAATTATGGCGAGAAGAGTCTGTGTAAATTATATGTGCCACCTCAGCATGTCAGTAAATAGTTTCTTATTAGCAACACTGTTCTGCTCACACCTCTGAATGATCTCCAAAATATGCTCATGACAAGTCGTTGAGAAGAGGTGTTTGTCGACAAGAGCAAACAAACATTTTTGACCTTCGCCTCTGTGGAACATAACTGTGTGATACGTTGAGTCAATTTTCCCCTTCATCATGGTATTGACATTACCAGCTCTACCCATAATCTTGATTGGTGTTCACTTGTGTATGGCAGTTTCAATTTCCTAGTCCGTCTTTGCTACCTCATGTATTTAGCAAACAAGTATATGCTTGATATGATCAATTATTGGCTGATACTCTTGAGGATTTGATAGAAGAATGTTAACGAGGAGTATCCAGTCATGAGGATTAAGATTTGGTAGATCAGCGAGGGTAAAATGGTAGATTGAGCCTTCGGTTCCTTGAGTCACCCTGAATTTGACATTAATAAATTTCCCTGCTGAATAGGGCTTCATTACCTTGATTGTGGTTATTTTCTTTAAGCTCCAAGTCAGGTATTGGGGTTGATCAAACTCCAAATAAAATTCTTGAAGATCCCTATCTACCTTCGGGTCTGGAGAAGGAATAGCAGCAATTGAGTTGAAGCAGTGGAAGATAAATGCCTTTCGGGTTATTGGCATATCGAATTGTGCATCCTTGGAATTGTCAAGACAAAAGGACATGATCGACTCAAGTCAGAGAATGCTCGGCTCATCAATTGCACATCTTTGAAGCGAGTCTATTGTCCACACAGGAAACATGGACTTTTTCTTTTCTAGGAGCTCTGCCTCCTTTCGCTTCATCTCCAGCTCAACTTGCTGCTTCTTGATGTTTTCTTCCATTTATTTTTCAGAAGTCTTAAACTTCTGGAAGCGATTCTTGGGATTCTCGGCATAGACATCTTCTTCATTGTCAGTGTTATCATCGCCGATTTTCTTCTTCTTTTTTTCTTTGTTGCTGACCGAAGCTTAATTACCCTTCGGTCTAGCAGATGGCTTTGATCCAGAAGGAGGAGGTTGCGATGTCACTTTCTCTCCCCCTTGTTTCGGTTGGACCCCAGTAACTGGCACACGTTCGATTCGGGTAAGAATATCCAACGCCGGTCTGAGCTTGTCTGCCAAATGATGCCTGACAGTGATAGTGATGACTGGGTCACGAGCCTTAATAAGATGAAGAAGGATGGAGTGAACATCTCCAACAGAACTCCTAATGACTTCCCTTTCTGACTTGAGGTCATTAAGTTCAGCCTCAGCAGTACGCAGCTTGTGAGTTTGCAATTTAACCTGGGAAGTATGTCGGTCAAGCTCACCCATAATTCGATTCTCCACATCTAACTCCGCTTCCAGTTGAGTTAAGCGATCGTTGAAATTAGCATGGAGCTTCTCGTTGGCTTGTTGAATGGCTTGGTGTGCTGCTTCTAGGTTCGAGTGCTCAGCTTGAAGAGACTTTTGAAGATTCTCGACTGAAGCGTTGACCGTTTTAGCATTTTTGGCAGCAACACCCTGCAATGAATCTAAAAATATGTGAGCTTCGGAGACAAGTTTATCGACTTTTACGGTCGCTTCCTTGCATTACTTGGTAGAGACATCAACAGCAAGGGAGGCCTGTTGACATTGGGAAGTGGAGGCTGCTATTGCCTTGGCTGCAGCAGATAGAGTAGTACTGTGTTCAGTGACAACCGAGGAGAACAAGGACTTCAAGGCAGCTTCAGAATAGGCACCAGACGAAGAGGATGAAAGCAGCTTATCAAGCTTTTTATTTACTGCCTTTAGATGACGTTTGGTAACAGGCTCATCATAATCATCATCGCTCTGCACTCTATAAGCATTGAAGTATGTGGAATCAAACTCCAAATCCTCACCACCCAGAATAAGGGTTGTTTCAGCAGATTGAGTGGGAGATAAGGGTTTGGAAGATGGTGGAGGTTCGGTTGTAACCTGAGGATCAGTTGCAAGTGGATTAGGAATAGTAGAGCGAGTTTGTGTGGTAGTGGTGGTATCTATGAAAATAGGAGTGGGAATAGGAATTATAGTAGATGGTTGGAAGGTGGTAATTGGAGAGAAAGGATGGATGGAAATTGGGATTGTTACAGGTGTAGGTGAAGGGGGATTGGAGCGAACTGAAATTTTTGGGGTAGGGGAGCGAGGTGGAGTATCACCTCGGCCCGAAGCTTCTTCTTTTGAGCTTTCGCTTTCAGATTCCAATGGAGGAGTGTTCTTGTGCTTAGGAGGGACATATTCTGAATCTCTTGAAGATTGCAGAATAAGTCTCCGAGTGGGCTTCTTTTGCTTTTTCGGTTGAGCCTGAGAAAGGGTAGCTTTATCATATTTTCGCTTCTTGGGGATTTGCCCCTTGGTTTGCTTAGTTACCTGTTCTCCCTTCTGTGTTTCAGGCTTCTTTCCCCTCTTGGTTGGTTTGTTAGCCTCTTCAATGGACCAAACCATTGCCTGTGTAAGCTCTCTTGGGCCAGCAGATGGATGCTTCCTGTATTGTTGTAGAACATTACTCAACTCAGAAATACGACTAAGCATTGGTTCAAGAATGGATCCAATAAACGAAAACTTTGATGGATCAGTAACAATGATTTTCGTCGTATAAAAGGTAGTAATGGATGAGAGCAAGGAGTCCGCCATTATTGGAACACGAAGGCAGTCCATTGCCCAGTTGGTGATGATGGACCAGAAATGCCCACATGATATTTCAGAATGCCTGGATGAAGAGACCAGGCTTTGGACCAACTGCTGCCAGATGATGGACCCATATTCTAGGTCAATTCCATGGTACAACCCGTACAGTACCGTCATGAAAGATTTACTTACGCCATCGGAGCCGGCGCTTCGCTCAGACAGTCCCTTGAATAACAGCGTAAAAAGGCCATTCCATTGAGGAGGAAGGCAGGACTTCTTGAACTTCGTAATGGTGGTTAGGGTTTAAGTATACCCCATCTAATAGAACATGGAAAACAATTGACCAGTTGTAATGGATTCAAGGTTTACTAGAGATGAATCTTGAGAAAGACCTATTAGGGCACATAATCGATGCTTGGAGATGGAGGTCTTCTCATCATGGAGTTCAAAGTGAATGCGTTCATTTATCCTATCATAAAAAGCAGTAGAGTAGACCAGAGACAAGTACGACATGGTAAAACCTTCAACTTTAGTCACTGCGTCGACGAGTGGTGAGTATTTGAGACACTCAACCACATACATCATATATGGCTCATAGATGAATGGCGTGAGATCGATGATTAGATTCTGTTGGGGTTTGATGGTGAGAAGAGGTTGACGAACTGAAGTATCGTGAACTGATGATGAGTCCGCCATTGATGTAGCTTGAAGAAGATGATGAACAGTTGTAGAGAATCACCGGTGTTCTTTGAGAGATTTTGGGAAGTGATAGAGGTTGATAGAGTACAGTTCGAGTTCCTTTTATACGTACAAGGAAGAGAGAGAAAAATCCGGCTGAAATCTTGGATTCTTTCAAAAATAGCACCTGACGTGATATGTGAACAGTTGGCGTGCCTAAGATCATGCAGGAATGAGAAAATACGTTTCTCTTTTTACACGCTTTTCCATAGAGTGCGCTTTTTCAAATCACCAAACCATTTGGATAGCCGCTGAGTCATGTTCCACTTTATCCTAATCGTTTCTCCATATAACATTTAAATTTTTTTCCCTTAGCATTTTAATGATCATTCTGAACAAAACTAGAGTTTGGAAAATTAAAAAATTTCGTGCATAGGGTGTAAAAGATAAAGAAATAAAACAAAATTCTAGGGAGAATCTGTGATGTCGTAAGCAGACATAAGACAATTGATTTTGGGCAAAAATCACTTCCTTCAAAGTCAAGAGAGACATTAAAGTGCTTGCTTAGTTTCCCATTGAATAACGATCAAAAACTTGTTGAGAAGTTTTAAAAGGCATCTTTTGAAGGTTAAAGAGGGTGGCTTTCTCTTCAATTCATAATTTCGATACTTAACATAAGACTGAAACTGAATGAAGTACTTGTGAGATCATTGTGATCTGTTGAACAAGTAGATATGATAAACTTTATAGTGATGAGGGAAGGAAGAAATCTCAAAAAAATATTAAACTGGATCTTTTAGGGTTAGAGAAACCTTAGTGAAAGGCAAACTCATAAAGATCACTAAAAAAAAGAGATTTCATAGGGTAACAAGTAAGATCTTGAATTTGTAAATTCACCGTCAATTCATTAGTGGTGTTGAACTTTGGGTTTCACTTAGTACATAGTGACATGAAACTAAGATCATGAACACAGACTTGGTATAACCGTAAACCTCAGTGGTTGTGACTGAGAGTCTCAGGGGTTATTTTGATGAAACGAGTTATAGTGGAGAAAGTTGATGAAGATGGTATAAGAAGCGAATGTACCTCTCCTTTAAAGAAAAGAAGTGCCAAGCAGAAAACTCTAAACCCAATTTTGAGTAGAGTAAGGTAGCTCATGATTAGAGTGAATATGATAGCCTAGATTGGGGAAAGACGATTGGTATATATCATGTTATTAAGGCTTCACTCAAAATCTGTCAAGGCATTAGTCAACATACAACAACATGCTTCTAGGGACACCTAACTAGTAACATTGTTTACCTGCCTTAGCATTGCCATCGAGAATCATAGATAGACAAATTGAACAAAAGAGAAAAATATTTTTGGATTTCTTAAGGATTTTTATAAAAATAAGAAAAATATTTTTAGGATTTTATAAGTAGAAAAGAAGTAATTAAAAGATGTACATAGGAAAACAATTGAAATGCCTTAAAAAAACGAACGAGTTCAGAAGGACTGAACCCGAAATAGACCGAATGTTCGGTTCATTTTGGTTCATGATCGATCTTCGCCCGAAATAGATCGAACGCGAAATAGACCGAACGTTCGGTTCATTTCGGTTCGCTCTATTTCGCTTGTTACCTTTATGAAAGCGAAGATGATTTCGGTACAGATTCGGCTTGCATCATTCCTAGGCCTTGTAGAATCTTATTGAAGCTTGCTTCAGGTAAGGGCTTCGTGAATATGACTTCTAATTGATCAGTCGTTCTGACGAAGTGAATTTCTACGTTACCATCTTCGACATGATCCTTGATGAAATGATACCTTAGTGCGATATGCTTAGTCTTTGAGTGTTGCAAGTGGTTGTGACAAATCCTAATTGCGCTTTCAGAGTCACAATACAGTGGGATTTTCTTCATGTTTAGCCCATAATCCCTGAGTTGATTTTGTATCCACGCGACTTGAGATGTACAAGATGCTGCAGCGATATATTCGGCTTATGCAGTGGATAGCGAAACACAGGTTTGTTTCTTCGATTGCCAACTGACTAATTTACCATCTAGAATTTGACATCCTCTCGTGGTGCTTTTACAATCTAATCCACAGCCACCTAAACAAGCATTTGAAAATGCTTGAACAAGGAATCCTGAGTTGGCTGGATACCACAGATCGAGAGAGGAGATTCGCTTCAGATAGCGAAAGATATTCTTCACGGCTTGAAGATGAGGTTCTCGGGGGTTGGCTTGAAATCATGCACAGTAGTAGACAGAGAACATGATATCAGGTCTACTGGCTGTAAGATACATCAGATACCCAATCATCTGTCGATAGAGTGTTATATCAGCTGCTGGTTTCTCCAATGATGGTGTGAGTTTAGTTCCAAAAGCCATAGGCACTTTCACTTTAGAGTCTCCCATCATTCCAAACTTGGTTAGCAAAGTATTGGTATATGCTTCCTAATTAATAAAAATGCCTTCGTGTCCCTATCTAATGTTGAATCCATGAAAAAAGTTAATTGGACCCATTGAGCTCATCTCAAATATAGTTTCCATCAAATTTCTGAATTCAGCTGTTAATGTAGGATTCGTGGAGCCAAAGATGATGTCATCAACATAAATTTGGACTATCATAAGGTGGTTACCTTCTCACTTACGAAAGAAGGTTGGGTCAACCGAACCTTGTTTGAATTTAGACATTTTTAAGAAACGAGTGAGAGTTTCATACCATGCTTTGGGAGCTTGTTTGAAGCCATACACAACTTTGTCAAGGATATAACAATGATCGGGATACTTCTCATTCACGAAACCTGGCGGTTGCTCAACATATACGGTTTCTTCAAGTTCACCGTTGAGGAAAGCACATTTGACGTCCATTTGATAGACTTCAAAGTTCTTGTGAGCGGCGTACGCAAGAAAGATACAAGTAGATTCTAATCTTTCTATGGGAGTGAAGGTTTCTTCATAATCGATTCCCTCTTCCTGACAATATCCTTTGACGACCAGCCTCGCTTTGTTACAAATGACATTCCCCTCTTTGTCCATCTTGTTCCTGAATACCCATTTGAGACCGACAACCGAAGCATCCTTTGGAGTTAGAATAAGGCGCCATACCTTGTTTCGTTCAAACTTGTTTAACTCATCCTGCATGGCTTGAACCCAGTCTGAATGATCAAGATCTGAGTTGACGGTTTTTGGTTCAACCTTGGAAACAAATGAATTGAACATGCAAAACTCGACTTTTGGAAAGAGTACAGCCTGTTTCGCTTTAATTTGAGAACGAGTTAACAATTTTTCTGAGGATTCCCCAGTAATTTGACTTTGAGGGTGATCTTTGGTCCATTTGATAAGGGGAGGAAAGTTTGGATCATAGATAGGATCCAATTCAACATTGATTTCTTCCTCTTGTTCAGACAGAATGTCGTCATCACCAATATTGGTGTTCTCCCCCTCGACGAATGATTCCTGTTCAGGACCCGCATTTGAATCCCATTCATTGGTCAGAATTTCAGTAGAGCTTGATGTATTTGGCGATGAGTTCTCCCCCTGGAATGAAGATCCTTGATCGTGATGAGTAGAAGAACCCTCCCCCTGGACATTAGGATGGTCACCAGAAGGTTCGCCTGTGTCTGCACCTTCGGTTTCTTTGGATTGATCATCAGCCATGTTATTAGCAGCATCGCCTATAACTTGTTTTAGATTATCAACTTTGTTGTCTTTTGCAGTTGATTCAGAGTCAATCACCTTTTGAGGCTCATCAAAAAGGAGCATGAATTGGTCGAAAAGATTCGAGATAGCAATAGTAACCTGACCATTCTTTGGAAATATGTCTTGCGATGCATCTTCTGTTGATTTCATTTTCTTAACATAACTATCGTCAAAAGTGACATAGTACATTTCTTCAATTTTCTTGCAGCGTTGATTGAGAACTCTATACGCCTTGGAGGTCAGGGAGTAGCCTAAGAAAATTCCTTCTTCTGCCTTAACATCGAACTTGTTTCGATTTTCTTTGGAGTTGAAAATGAAACATCTTGAACCGAACACATGAAAGAATTTTACGTTTGGTTTTGGATTGTTCAGTGTCTCGTAAGGGGTAATTGAGAACCGTTTATTCAAGTATGATCTATTTTGAGTGTAACATGCAGCCGCAATTGCATCCGCCTAGAAATACAAAGGTAAGGACGCGAAGCATAACATTGTTCGAGCAACTTCACACAGTGATCGGTTTCTCCTTTCAACAATGCCATT